TTCACCATTTCAAGCCAAAATTACCTACGAACCTCCAATCACTATCCAGACACACTCCTAAGTCAAGAATAACCCAGCGGAGCTAATGGATCCATCAAAACTCCATTCCGGAGCCATTTACACACAAGTCAATACCGGTCGACCATTTCAACTTAAGCTTCCAACCTTAAGACTAAGTGTCTCAACTCATTGCGAAATCTCTCCGACCCAAACCAACTAGGACAAGTCACATAGCAACTAATAAGCATAAGATGAGCAGTAAATACGGGGGAATGGAGCTACAACTCTCAAAACGGCCGGCCGGGTCGTTACATCCTCCTCCCTTAAACAAACGTTCGTCCTCGAACGTGTCTAGAAACGTACCTGGAGTCTCAAATAGGCGTGGATATCTGCTCTGCATCTCCCGCTCGGTCTCCCAAGTAGCCTCCTCAACTGGCTGACCTCTCCGCTGCACCTTCACTGAAGCTATGTCCTTTGACCTCAACTTTCGAACCTGTCGATCCAAAATGCCACCGGCTTCACATCATAAGTCAAATCACCATCCAACTGAACCGTGTTGAAATCCAAAACATGAGTGATAAACAACCCTTCGTGATCGTGACATCATACTCATGATCGCATATAAGAAAACCAGTAGCAGAAATAAGCAGTTCCTCCAAGGTTACAAATGCGCGGAACATGATCTGAATCACACCCAAGGCCTCCGGGACCTCAACCAAACGTACCAACAAGTCCTAAAAATGTCATAGGAACTCGCTTGAAGCGTCATATCACATCAAACAACACTAAAACCACGAATCGCGCATCGATTCAAGCCTAATGAACTTATGAACTTCTAACTTCTACATTCGATGCCGAAACCTATCAAATCAAGTTCGATTGACCTCAAATTTTTCACACAAGTCATAAGTGATACAACAAACATATTCCAACTTTCGGAATCAAATTTCGAGCCCAAAGTCAACTCTCGGTCAAACCTCTCAACTCTCCAAACTTTTATTTTTCCAACTTTCACTATTCAACTCAAAATACCTATGGACCTCCAAATCACTATCTGGACATACTCCTAAGTCCAAAATCACCGTACAGAGCTATTTAAACCATCAAAACTCCATTTCGGAGTCATTTACACATAAGTCAATATCCGGTCAACTCTTTCAACTTAAGCTTCAAACCTTGGGACTAAGTATCCAAATTTACTCCGAAACATCCTCGGAACCAAATCAACTACCCCGGTAAGTTACATATCAATAACTGAGCATAGAATAAGCAATAAATGTGGGAACGAGGCTATAACACTCAAAACAACTGGCCGGGTCGTTACATGATTAAATAGTTCAATTATGTTATTAACTCAGAATGTGATAGGCTTACCTAGTCTTAAGGATTAGGTGTCATCACAACATCCTAAGGTGAGAACTTGATATCGTCACAGTTTAAAATTAATTTTCTTTTAAAAGAAAATTATCATTCTGTTTTGTATAAAGTAAATAAAAAAGAGTACGACATAAAAGGGAACGTGAGTAAACTTTTTCAGTTTTTTGGTATGCTTAATTTGGATTGAGCTTTGCTTCAACACAATTAACATGGAACTTTATTATATGGGGGAGTATTTTGATGTTGTCTCGTATTCTTATCAAACATATAAACAAAATATCATAGTAAAATAAACACTTACTAAAACTAAAATATTTAAGTAAAGAAATTTGTGTCAAAAAAAATTATATATATATATATTTGTGTGGCTATAAATATTTATATTAAAACTAAATTGAGAAGTTTAAAATTAGTTTTTTCCTAAAGAAAAATGCCATTTTGTTTGGTACAAAGTAAATTAAAAAGAGTATCGCATAAATAGGAGACATGGTAAACTTTTTCAATTCATTGGTATTCAATTTTGAGTAAATGTCTACAAACATTACTATAGAATTCTTCATTATTCTATTTTACATAATGTCTTTAATTACGAGATTCTTTATGTCTTATACTATAATACAGGTGTAGCCAATATGATATTATTGAAATTTTTTAATAGTGTTTTTCTTTTAAATAAAAGGACCTGGAAAAGACAAAGATACGTTACTAAGTTAAATTTTGTTTTTGCACTTCTAACTAACTTATTTATCTATGATCATGGATATTGCGTTCATATTTTAGGTAATTTAATATAAGGATCTTAAAAGATGACATTGTTTAGCCGTAAATGTTCGACGAAAAGAGCATTAAAGCCTAATTTTGAATACATTACAATAAAATTTATTTATGAAATGAGAACATTGTTGCAATGTGCAAAAATTTATCCAATACCATTTACCTAATATAATTACTCGATAAAATTTTAGATATTTACTTTTTGGTTTGTGCGTTAGTCACCTCATTATATGAAAAATAATATTCTAGTGTGTATGATAAATTTATAAGATGTTGTTGCAGCTTTGTTCATGTGAGATTATATGATCAACTTGTGTGAGATTTATTTTATTGGTAAAATGAGTTACCAAATTAAAAGTTAAATTTAATATTTTGCTTACTATATTCTCTCAAATAAAAATTATTTTTTGGTAACTAAGTCTTTATATTAATCACCAAAGTAATATTTACAAAGCAGTAGGTCAACTCAACCTAACTTCCATACTGGAAACATTCCCTCTATCCTCCATCTAACTGCCTATCAACTATATCTATTAGTATTTACATTTTGCTAACAAAACTTTAGTATACCCCTCAGCTCTCATACTACATACACAGGCTATCTTTTTTGCGAGGATGTCCCATGTTGTAGCTGTTTTGTCAAAGACTCTTAAGTTTCTTTCAATCCACAATGCATACACATATTCTGCAATTAACATTTTGAGTAATCTAGCCATTTGAGATCTTCCTTTTGTCTTCTGTACTACCCATTGTTGCCACTCTGTCCATGAAGATAGACTAGTTTGTATATGAATCCGTTGCATGAGTCTGCTCCACAATTCTCTGCCATATGCACATCCTGCAAACATATGCTCCTTTGCTTCCAAAGCTTGCTTAGAAAAACAGCATATTTCATCCACTTGAATCTTCCATTTCTTCAGTCTGTCAGCAGTTTGGAGTCTACCATGCATTAGTAACCACAGTATAAATACTGCTTTTGGTCTGGCCTGATTCTGATACATTAGACCCTTCCAGGCTACCTTTGGCATCTCTCCTATCAGCTTCATGTATACCTGTTTAATTACTGTCTTCTGTTTGCCTTGATTGCTATTGATCCCTGCCACATTGCTTCTTGCTTCAAATATTTTCTTCAGCATCCAGGAAGTCTGTTGTGGTACCCTCATAGTAAAAATAGACTGATCTTTAATGTAATAACTATGGATCCATCTGATCCACAATTTGTCCTTCTTATTTGACAGCTCCCATGTAGACTTTGTTATTGCTGCTTTATTCCACAATGCCAGATTAACCAAGTTTAGTCCCCCTGCAGCTTTAGGCGAGCACATCTTCTCCCAAAATACCAAAGCCTTTTTTGTGATCACATTCTCCCCTGACCAGACATAACTTCTGCAATAAGCTTCAATTGTCTTGACAACCTTAGCTGGCATGATGAAAATCTGAGCCCAGTATGCTTGAATACCAAAGATGACATGCTGAACCAATTGTATTCTACCTGCATATGACAATTTCTTAGCTGTCCAAGATGAGATTCTTGCCACTATTTTGTCAATAAATGATTGCCATTGCATGATTGATAGCTTCTTAGAATCAAGTGGTATGCCTAAGTATTTGAAAGGCAGTGACCCCTGACTATACCCTAGTTTTCCTTGTATCTCCTTTTGAGCCTCCTCACTGACTCCTCCATAATAGATGGAACTTTTTGCTAGATTAGCACTAAGTCCTGAAGCTGCTGAAAAAATCTGGAATTTGTCATGTATTAGACTTACTGAAGTTGGATCTCCTCTTGCAAAAATCAGAAGGTCATCTGCAAAATTCAAATGAGTTAAGTTCAGCCTTGCACACAAAGGATGAAAATGGTATGCTTTCTCCGGCTTTAAGGTCTTTAAGTTCCTGGTGAGATACTCCATGGCTATGGCAAATAAGAAAGGTGACATGGGGTCCCCTTGCCTCAGTCCTCTAGCTACATCAAAAGGCCTTATTGTTTCAACATTTACAATAACTGTATAGTTTACCGTTGTCACACATTCCATTATCCAGTTAATGAATTTAGTTAGGAATCCGAGTTCATCTAGAATTTGATGCAAGTATCTCCAATATAATGTGTCATAAGCTTTTTGGATATCCACTTTGATAAGGCATCTAGGAGAAATGTTCTTCTTAGAATAAGCTTTGACTAGTTCATGAGCAAGTATCACATTATCTGCAACCTTTCTTCCTGGGATGAATCCAGCCTGAGTCTCTGATATGATGGATGCTATGACTTTCTGAATTCTAGTAGCTAGAACCTTAGCTATCAGTTTATATAATACTGTGCAGCAAGCTAGTGGTCTGTATTCTCTGATGCTTGTAGGATTTGGGACTTTAGGCAGAATAGTGATAGCTGTACAATTCACTGCCCTATATAACTTCCCTATGGTAAAAAAAATCTTTTGACTGCTTGGTAAACATCATCACCTATAATTGGCCATCCTTTCTTGAAAAATACTACATTGTAACCATCAACCCCTGGAGCTTTATCATTTCCAATAGCACATAAACCTTCATATATTTCTTGCTCGGTAACTTCTGGAACTAAGTTCATCTGTTGTTCATGATTAAGAACTGGCCCATTTGACTGCAGGTAAGTTCCCTATTGCTGTCCCCATCAAGGCTTTGTAGAAACTGATGATTTCTGCTTGTATCTGCTGCTGGTCAGTTATTTTGTTTCCAAAGCTATCTTGTAGCTCTGTGATAACTTTTCTCTGCCTTCTTTCCTTCATTACTGCTGAGAAATATTTAGAGTTGGCATCCCCTAATCATAGCCATGTAGCTCGAGCCTTCTGTTGCAGTATGCTTTCTTCAATTAATGACTATTTCTCCAAGTTCTCTAATGCTTGTTTTTCCTCATTAGCTAGTTTGTCTGAATATCCTTTTAATATTTGAGCTTGAATACCCTGTAGTAAACTCCTTGTTGATTCCAGCTTATCTGTGATGCCCTTGAATTCACTATTGTTGAGCAGCTTCAACAAAGATCTTAGAATCTTCAACTTCTGCCATATATTCCTCATAGGGTCATGATCATATTGTTCTTTCCATACTCCTTCCACAAGTGACATGAAGCTTGGGTGTTCTGCCAAACATTAAAAAATCTGAAAGGAATCTTGCCACTTGGTACTTGCCTTCTTATAGTGATAACCATTGGAGCATGACCTGAGATGAATGGAAGTCTATATTCTACTTCTATATGTTCATAATCATGAATCCATTTATCATTCCCTAAAACTCTATCAATCCTGCTATATACTATATCTACTCCTTGTTGTTTATTTGACCACGTATAGTAATCTCCTCTCCAAGCCAGTTCATTCAAATTCAGTGTCTGCATACATTCATTGAAGTCTTGTATTTCATTACTTGTAACTATTTTCCCACAAATTCTGCCTTGAATTGTTAAGACAGAGTTAAAATCCCCCCAGATGATCCATGGTTCAGTGTTCTGAGGTGCATCAGCCTTTAGTTGCTGCCATAAAGGTTTCCTTGCTTCAGTAGTATTAAATCCATACATTATTGTCATAAGACAATTTATAGTATTTTGTCTGCCTACAACTCTACAATGAATTGTTTGAGCAGATTTTCCTAAAACTGTTATGACATAACTCTCAGGATCCCAAAGAACCCAAATTCTCCCATTTATTGCATATTCATAATTGTAGTGAGCTTGCCAACCAGCTGCCACTAACTATGAAATCTGAGATGCTTTTTCCTTCTTTACTCTAGTTTCCACTAACCCCAATAGCTTTATATTATTCTCCTTTATATAGGTACCCAACTCCTTTTGTTTGTATCTCTTGTTGGTACCCCTTATGTTCCATACCATCCAAGACATAATCGAAGTTGGGAGTGTCCACCTATATTAGGTGGTTTCGAGGTTGCTATCACAGTTGCACTCAGGAGTGTTTGAGATCTTTGTTTCACTGGAGACATTATAGCTTTGGCATAGGTCATTTGATTGTCATCTGCTTTCATCTTCCCTTTATCTATTGCCTGTTTACTTCTACTGCTTCCTCTTCTTGCTGATGATCTTCCTTACCTTCTGTTAGCTTAGAAGTGTTCACATCTTCCTTGCTAGCTTCTTCAACTTGTTTTTGGCTCATTTCATCAGTTGTGCCTATTACTGGCACCTTAGCCCTCCATATTTGTTTCACTGGTGGTGGCTTCCTATTCCTGGGCTGGGGGATTTGTTTGTCACCTTCCTTTGGAACTCTGCTACAATTATGCCCTGCTTTTAAGCATTTTTCACAGAACTCCAATTTCCAATCAAATTCAACTGCTTGCTCAAAAATCACGCCTTCATCATTCATGACTGGAATGCTAGTTGGCAAAGGCTTTGTAACATTCACTTCTATTAGGATTCTAACATAGGAAATTCTTGTCTGTTTGGCAGTACACTCATCTGCAAACATAGGAATCCCTATTGTGCTTGCTATTCTACTCAGTGAGTTCCCACTCCAGCAATTCATGGGAAGTTTTGGAAACCTTACCCATAATGGAAGGTCTGTCATGAATTCTACTACAAAATCAAAGTAAGGAGACCAGTGTTTCATTATCATTGGTCTATTATTCACTGTATAAGGCCCAGCACACATTATTTCCTTCATATCCTCCAGTGATTGTAATTTCACAATATAATACCTTCATCATGATAAAACAAATCTGGCATGGCAACTGTGTTCCACATCTGATTTATGTACCTTTTCATATAGTTGTAGCCTGGTTTTTCACCCAAAACATAGACTATTAAGGCACTCTTCCATTTCAGATTTTTCTGCTCGATTTCTGACTTCTCAAGCTTAGCTACTAGATTTCCTTCTATAATTTCAGGAGTAATATAATTCAGTGTTATACCGTTTGCTGCAGATCTATTACCTTTGAGTACTTTAGCCCAAGTAGCCTCTGTGGAGACAGCTTGGTTTTGCCCCTTGTTCATCAATGAACAATAATTCCATCTTGTGCATTAGCCGTATTTTCCTGTTCTTTGCTTAATGGAATAGTAACTTCACGACTTGTAGGGGGTGTTATACTTCCTCGTAAATCAACATGCATAGGGATTGGACTCTGATTTGCTTGTTTCTGCTGCTGTTTAGCTGATCCTGAAACTTCACCATGGTAGATCTGTGTTACAGAAACAGATCCAGCAGTCACCTTCGATTTTCCAGAAATGGTTTCCATAAACTTTGTTGAGCTCCTTTCCATGGCGTTGAGCTTAGGTATTTTGTCATCTACACGAATTTGCTATTTTCTAGGACGTCCACGAGCTTTCTTACCAGTCATGATGAAGATGGCGCACGTTTGCTTAACATGCCCCGAGAGAACTTGGAGAAGAAAGCTTTTCAACTAAAAATTATTAAAAAAGAAAAAAAAAATTAACAGGTCAAACAGGATATAAACATGATAAGGCTTAGTTTAGATTTAAAAAGCTTATTGGTATATACATTCTAAGCATAACCTACGTAGAAAAACAATTACTCATTTCGATAATAAAAGTAAAATAGAAGTTAAAAGTAAGAAATAATTATTTCTTTGTTATGAAACATTTTTTTGTAGTGGATGTCTATAACTCCTAAAGAAGTTACTCCCACTACTCTTCTCCATTATGTAGATAACTCCTACTACTTCTTACCGTTATAGTTGTAACTCACACACCTCCATAACCTCCCCATGATCTTCCTCCATGATCTCAAATGTTTAATGTCATGTTTATGGCATTCTTTTGTATGCCTCTATGTAATCCTATAAATAGAGGGATTTGGCATCACATTGTATACACTTGAATACATAGAAGAAATAAGATTCTCTCTTTTTTTCCTCTCTACATTGTTGTCTATTTTATTGTTCTATAATGTTACTTTGAGCTAAGTTTCGTAACACGTTATCAGCACGAGTCTCTAACCAAGATTTGAGTTTGGTTCTTCTTCCGCCCATGTTCTGATTAGTCTCATTACGAGAATCAAAAAAGAATAACTACTATAACTAGTAAGTACAAAAGCAGGTAAGTGTGAGGTTGGACTTGAAAGAGAGTCTGTTATGCTCCAGGTTTACTGCTCCATTACTTATGATAGGTACCTTAGATTACACTCCCAACAAAGTTATTTCATTTCTTAAAGCTCAACGAATGGTTGAGAAGGGGTGTGACGCGTATCTAGCCTATGTGAGAGATGTCAGTATTGATACCCCTATAGTTGAGTCCGTCCCAATAGTGAGGGATTTTCCTGATGTGTTTCCAGCTGATCTTCCGGGCCTGCCGCCCGATAGAGATATTAATTTTGGCATTGATTTATTGTGGGGCACTCAAAAGTAATGGAGCGATCGAGTAGCATCTAAGGATTGTGCTTCAGACCTTGAGAGAGAAGAAATTATATGCAACGTTCTCAAAATGTGAGTTCTAGTTGGATACCGTGGAATTTTTGAGTCACGTGGTGTCGAGTGAAGGGATCAAGGTGGATCCGAAGAAAGTGGAAGCGGTCCAGAGTTGGCCCAGACCATCCTCAGCTACAGAGTTTCGGAGCTTTCTTGGTTTGGCGGGCTATTACCGTTGATTTGTTGAGGGATTCTCAACTATTGCAGCACCTATGACCAAGCTGACCCAGAAAGGTGCTTCGTTCAGGTGGATGGGGGTGTTTGAGGAGAGCTTTCAAAAGCTCAAGTCAGCTTTGACTACAGCCCCAGTATTGATATTGCCTACAGGTTCGGGGTCTTATACAGTTTATTATGATGCGTCGCGAGTTGGCCTCGACGTGGTATTGATGCAGGACCGTAGGGTGCACTACAAGAAAATAGGCCTTTAACGAGGAGAAATCTGGTCGTTAAAAGTCCAATTCCGGTCGTTAAAAGTTGATAACGACCGGAAAAAATCCGGTCATCAGCGGTCGTTAAAAGCTCCGACGTTAAAAGTTAACGACCGGTTTACAATTCGGTCGTTAAAGGTTCTTTAGCGACCGCATAATTTTCGGTCGCTATACATGCTTTTTAGTGACAGAATTTTCCCCTCGCTAACTTGTTATCCGGTCGTTAAAAGCCTTTAATGACAATAACTAATTAAGTCAATTCAAGTGCTTTTAGCGATCGATATTCCCTTCGTTAATTGTATAACTATTCTTAACTGCCAAAATTTCCTTCATTAATGGTCATTTATCTGTTTGAGAAACCTGTCGTTAAAGAGTTCTAATGACCATATTTTTCTTTGCTAATATGGAAATGTAATAAATATAAATACGAAAATTTAAATTACATGAATAGTAATAATTATTTATATGCTTTCATACACGTTCAACAACATTGGAGAATAAGCCAATATCTTGTTAATACAAAGAACTAAAGTATCATATTTACCAGAAATCAATCCAAATTGTAAGATATCATTTTAACAATTCCTAAAAAGAGAAGAAGTACAATTGCAACATATATATGTACATAAGACAATGTCTTTAAACCATCCCTCACAAATCAAAAACCTCTTCTACTTCAACTTGATCTCCACTTTCTTCAAGGATAGGTTCTTTGGACTTCAAATTTTTGATCCGTTAAAATAACAAATTTATGTCAGTTTAGTAGCAAAAAATAAACAACTAAAGAAGAAAGATCAGATATATTAAAGGCTACACTAGTGGCTATAAACAAGGAAGTGAAAAAAATAAAAAGATCAGATGACATAACAGTTGATAGTATTGTAGCAAGAACACAACGCATTACATTTTCTATGTCTATAGATGATGATCGGAAGATGACTAAATGAATACTTCTACATCACCCAACCTTATCATACTAAAACCTGCACAACCAGTGTCACTTTTGGGAAGCAAATCCCATATAGAGCTTCTTGAAATCCTACAGATTAAGGCTTAGAGAAGAGATGTTGCCTGACTGTTAATTTGATAGATAGATTTTTGGAGAAGCAAGGTGTTGTTAGGAAGAAGTTACAGCTTGTTGGGTTGGTTGCCATGCTATTAGCATGCAATATGTGGAAGTTTCTGTGCCATTAGTGAAAGATTTCGTGTTTATGTCGGACAAAGCCTATACAAGCAAGGAGGTTCTTGAAGTGAAAAGAATGATGCTCAACTTCCAACTGCATATGTTTTCATGAGAAGATATCTGAAGGCTGCTCAATCTGATAGGAAGCTTGAGTTGCTGTCTTTCTTCTTGGTTGAGCTTTGTCTAGTGGAATATGAAATGTTCAAGTTTCCGCCATCATTCATAGTTGCTGTAGCAATCTATACAGCTCAGACCACACTCTACGGTGTCCAGCAGTGGAGTAAGACATGCGAGTGGCATACTAGTTACTCGGAAGATCAACTTATGGAGGGCTCGAGATCGATTGTGAGCTGTCACTAGAAGGCAGCAACAGGAAACTGAAAGGAATCTTCTCAAGATTTAAATGGTAAAGATCTTTCTACCCTTAAAGAGGCAATACTTTCCCTATTAGCAGATCCAAGGACTTCCTCAAATGTGGAAATCCTGTTGGAGGAGGGTCAATTTACAGCAGTTTGTAGTATCTCTGAAATCAGATGACATGATTGGATTGTTAGATCTTTTGACCTCATCTGTTTGCATCCGTAGTTACCTCGGATAAGGAACTAAAATGAGGAAATGGAAAGCTTTAAGTGTCATGCTCTACACTTGTTGGTTTTGGTGTACTGATGAGTTTCTATTCCACACAATCGTTAATGAAAAGATCTACACCTTATGTTGATTCCCAGCAGGAGCATTTTCGATTTCTAAAAAGAAGGTTTTACACCTTATGTTTGATATTATGGCAAACACACAGAGGGGTATGTTTCTTGTAAGCTTTCTGCTCTTTGTCTAAGCAACTTTTCATGTTGTGAGCTCATTTTGTTTTATTAAACGTTTCAAGATTGATAAGATCTGGTCGAAAACTTGAGGTACTCTGAGTGTCGAGGAGAATCCGATGTGTGAACTCTATTATGTAGCAAAGAAGCTTATGGCTGTATCTTGGGTCCACTCGAGTGCACAAGGTAGGGGGAAATGTTTTCCAAGGAACATATTTTCAAATAAAGAGAAAAGAAAGGTTCATATTGTAAGTTGTAAGTACATCACATCTAAATTTGGTTATGCAGCAAAGTGTGAGCCTGCCCATTTTCTTGTGCAGACAAAACAACAATAGGAAAAGGGGCATCTCCAGTTATTACTAATTTTATGTGTAATTGGATCAAGATAAACAGCCAGCAAATTTAGCGCACACAAAGTCACAAAGTATTATTTGATTTCATGCAGTTGAAATGTTGTCTTCCGAGATTGTACAAGTATAGAGTAAATCTTATTTCTCAGTTTTAGAGAGGACTCCAAAAGCATTAAGCTGCAATGCAAACTAAAAAAGGCAAAAGAGAAAGCTAGCAATTTTGAAACTTCATTATTGCTTAAAGTCATTTGACTATACTTTTGTTTATTCATAAACCTTAATGACATAAAGAAAAAGTTCACATGAGCATTGCAATATTTTCATCAGAGAGTAAAATAGGATTTTTAACCTACTAACATGTTAAATGATTCAATATATTGATCACTTGAAGATGGTGATGAAGGCTTATCAAACACTATCTTTGCAAGCTGTGCGTATTTACTCCCTAGCTCATCATATTTACTCTCTAACCCTTCCAGGCGTCCTTTTAGTGATTTATTTTCTTTTTTATTAGCATTCAGCTTTTCCAACAATGCAGCTTAGAGGAGTTACCACCTTTCAACTCCTTAGCGGTTATCCCACCACCAAATCCAACTACATGACTCTTTGTTGAGGTCCGAAGCACCTTTCTACAACCTCAATGTTTGTAAGAGACAATTCAGATTGCACCATTTCTTTGATTTTTGCCTGTAAAATAAAAATAATTTAATTAACATAATACAACACAGTAAATAAATAATGTAAATTGAATCAATAAACATAAATATTTCTCATTTGTTTCAGGTTCGACAAGCTTGTTGTTCTTCTTACGAGTCTAAAAAAAAATAGTTGCCACATCTGGTGGATTGCCATCTTTACCTCCCTTCACATTCAAATAAACAAGTCAAAGAAATCTTGTAACAAAGATGAGGTTTCTTAATAGAATTATAAGATTTACTCACCAATTCATAAATGATCTCCCTAATTGGCTTACTACCTATACGATGAGGCATACTCAACTTAGACCTATTGATCAGTTTCTTGTACTTGTCTCCTAAATTAACAACACACCAACAAAATTCTGGTCAGCCACTTAATATAACACGATGTTAATAAATAGCTATAAAATCATACCTTAAATTTTTCAGTAAGAAAATGCTCCTTGACCAGCCATTCCCAATCACTCTTGTCTACCCCCTTTGGCACATCTTTTAGAGCATAACGGAATGGCTTAGACTTGATATTCTTGTGCATCGATCCTCTCCAATTGTTCCATAACTCTCATATGTTTCGGGAAATGATCTCGTTGATCATTTATGTCATCACTGTCAAATTTGTCCTACAATATTTCACAAGTATCATTAAATATGAAACTTATCTTATAAACTAGAAATATAAAAATTTAACTGTGTGTATCAAAAGAGATGATAAATCTTATAAAGGTTATACGAGTTCTAATTGATAGATAGGGTAGATTCTTAAAATAAAAGAGTGAAGCGACCATGAGTCTATATTTAGTTCTGTTTAACAGGCAAAGGAAGTATGCTTATGCATAAATATACTAGGTGATTTGCTAATTTTAATAAATTGATACCCAATATGGCATAACGAAGACCAAACAGCAGATATCTTACCTCATGAGTTCTCCAAGTGTAAGAAGGAAGCTCTGTGTTTGAGAATGAATACAAACAACAAGTGAAGATAATGTATTAAGTTAAAAAACCTTTATTTTATCTGTCATCTAAGCAAAATTTCTAATTTGAAATGCTCAGCTGATCATAATGATATCTATGATGTTTGTCATGGACCTGATGACTATGACAAAAAAGAAAGAATGAAGCACCCTTTTCACCTTCAGCAGAGACAACAACAACCCCCCAAAAAAGAAACAATGCTGTGTGTAGATTGCTTAACCAAAAGGCGTCAAAGTCTAGATTGCTTTTAAAAGTCATGAGAGATAAACTAAGTTTATTTCCCAAAAGGAGCCTGGATGAATAAGAACAGATAGATAGTCTTCTAGTATATTGCAATTAGAAAGCAATATTTTCAATTGAAATGAGGCAGCAGGGCCTTAGGATTTGGGAACCTATGCTACTGCCATTGAAGGCACTACGCATACTCAGAATGCCAGCCAAACTTTCTTATTGAGGAAAAGGTCTCTCACATAAGCCAAAAATAATTCCATCACAGTAAGTTCATTTATTGAAAATAAGCAGGACCAGACATTCCTTTTTAAAAATATATTTATCTCAATGGTGATGGAAGATTCTTAACCAGCATAAGTACATTAAACACTAAACACTAACTAAATATAAAATGGAACACATGAAAGATTAAGGAAACAAGAGAAATTGCATGAGACTTATTAGGATAGATCTTTGAGAAGAAAAGGAACTCTTGAAGGAAACTAAATGCTATTATAGAAGGCCAGCAGTTCTAATTCTAGTAAAAAACATCACAGTTAATAAAAACAAGTGCTACACCTAAGTTGGTCAACCTCCGAAAGCTGTTACACGTAAGTTGGCTCCTATACCAGCAGCTAGTACAGTGCAACAAAATGATGCTCATGGCCAACAAAGCCAGCAGGTGTGTACTCAACAAGGCCAACAAATGACACAGATGTCCCAACAATCACAAGTAACACAACAGGTACACATGGATCACAAGGTGTTTCAATAGGGCAGCAACAAGGATCTGCAGTGGGTCCTGCTATGCAACAGGTACCCATTACGCTGCAGTTTCGGCCCCAAATGATCCAGCAGCCTGGTCATCAGATGCCATCTCAAATGGGACAAACTCCTAACCAGCCAGGCCCACATGTTTCTCAACCAGTGATGCAATAAATAATTCCATAACAACTTGGCCCCCTAACTTCAACTAACTAGCATGGTAAAGGCACGAAGATAAATATGACAAATATGGAAGAGAACACATGATCTTTATAAATTAACAAGTAGAGACATGAACGACTAACATGGAAGAAGACCTACACTTAAATGCAACAAAACATATGACATGGATGCAATCATGACAGCAGGAAGTAGGCATGATATTAGCAAGTTAAGCAAATAGAAGGCATGAGTAACACGACAACAATTGTGATAGAGGATCGAGACAGAAAAGTGGCGACAAATCGCATAAGAACCATGACTACGATTGTATCCTCTTGTTGGCTTTCTAGTTTCTCTTTTTTCAGACTTTATTATTAAAAATTTCTGTTCTCAATTTCTTGTTCTTTTGGGAAAATCTTCCTTATCTTTCATAGAACTGCAGCTTCTGTGCGGACAGTTAAGTCCAAGATTACTGTTCCTGTAGCTCCATCATTTAAATGTTCTGAACGCTCAGAGAGACGCAGAGAGGTATTTTCCTGAATGTTTGAATGCAATTTTTATTTCAACCTCCTTACAAGCCCCCTCTCCCTCTCCCTTATTCATATTAACTTGTAGTTGTGCTTTTGTTTTTCCAACAAATGATGTTATCTCATTCTTTCTCATTTTTTTCCTAGTATGACACAAAGTTAGAGAAAAAGCACAAAGCTCTGGAGGCAGAGAAACAAGAATATGCAGCCAGAATGAAGGTATTGTAGTATGCATGTATCCTCAACCTTAACAATTGCTTAGGGGAGGACGGAGAAAAAAAATAAGACATGTTGTGAAGTAAGATACATGACCCCTAACTTATTCTCTACAAATTCTAGGAAGAGGAAGAAGCAACAATGAAGCAGCTTAGAAAGGCCATGGTCTACAGAACAAATCCAGTTCCTAGTTTTTACCGTGAAGGGCCACCTAGGTGTACAGATGGGACAACCACATGGTTATCCGTTTTCTCATCACCAGACGCCACAGCATATTACGTATCCACAGAATTTGCCTACACAAGGACAGCAAATTCCACAGCAGATATCTGCCCAGAATCAGCAGCTCTCCCATCAACAAGAGCATAAAATGGGATTTCAGCAAAGAGAAGATGTTGATTTCCCCCATGTGAGACTATGGGTTTTCACCACAACAAGTTCAGCAAACTGGTGTAAAGAACGAGACTAGAGGGGATCTTCAGGAAATGGTAAGATAACACTTGCAATGGCAAGCACTTTCTATTCTTACATACTGGATTTTGCTTTGGAGTTTGGTACATAAAACAAGGATAGATATTAAACCATATGTGGTTATTCACTTTGTATATTACTTAAAGGAAGTATATAGCAAAATACTAGAAAGCGGAGATATTGTAGTCAAGTTTAACATGAGACCTAAAGTTCTCTTACTCAATAACACACTGCAAAAAACACCAAATAGGCATTAAAAACATATTGAAAAACCAAAACTTGGATATCATGGACTTCCTTACTTTCTAACTTGCACTTTTCTCATTTTTAGCATTCAACCGGTTACCAATCACCAAGACCATCAATCAGTCCAGATGATTATTTAATAGCGATTGAATAATCAACAACTACACAGATTTTGACTCCAAAATTCAAGCGAGGAAAAAGCGACTAATTGAACTCGGAACCGTGAATTTCGTCCTCAAATAGTCACGTCCGAACCCCCCACCAACTAAGCTCAAGCATGATCCATGACCGAAGATCAACAGGTCAAAAACTAAAATATATATTTCGTTGTTTTATACCTATGTATATGAAAGAAACTTAACTCCAAAAGCAGAGGAGTAATAGCCGAAAATCAAAGAAGAAAACTTAAATCTTTGTATATCTCTTCCTGTAATCTTTTTTTTCTGGAATTTGAAACGCGAACAGAAAATCGAAGAAGAATACCTAAAAGCAGAGAAGAAAATTTACCCTTAAAACCCTAGCTTTTCATTCACTTTTTCTGTTCAAAACTTAATAATTGAATTTGAACAGCCATAATTTAGCACTGGGGTTTCATCTAAACTAAAATTAACATAAAAAGGGTACAATTTCAAACCTTACCTTGATGAGAAGAAACGTGAGCAGTTGTTGTCAATGGAGGTGACAAGCAATTTCTCTACTACGATGAGATTGACGTCTGAACACCAGTAATTTCGCTGAATTTTACTTGCCCTTCTAAGAGAAATAGCAGTTTCACGCTGAATTTTACTTGCCCTTCTAGGAGAAATAGCAGTTTCAGGTTTATGAAATAAGTGTTCACGGTATTGGAGAAGTCCGAGGGCTTTTTCCTTCTTTTTTGGGAAGGTTGGCGGATTGGGCTGGAAGGAAAAAAAAAGAGGGAAATGTTAGCGCCACTTTTTATTATTTAATAACGACGGGCCATGTTATCCCCTCGTTAATATTGAGCTAATAATTAATTTCAACGACCGGAAAAAAAATTGGTTGCTATAGGTATACTTATAATGACCGGATTTTAGTCCCTTCGTTGAGAAGTGATCGTTAAAAATCAAATTTCTTGTAGTGGTAATAGCCTACGCGTCCAGACAACTGAAGGTGCATGAAAAGAACTATCATGTCCACGACCTTGAGCAACAACAATAGTTCATGCCTTGAAGATTTGGAGGCATTATTTGTACAGTGTCCCTTGTGATATCTACGCTGATCACTGGAGTTTGCAGCATATATTCAAGCAGAAGATCTTAATTTGCGTCAACTGAGGTGGTTAGAGCTGCTTAAAGATTATGATGTAACTATTTTGTACCACCCTGGGGAGGCCAATGTTGTGGCCGATTCTTTGAGTCGTCGGTCAAACAGTTTGGGGAGTTTAGCATATCTACTAGCAGTAGAGAGGCCCATGGCGTTAGATGTTCAGGCCCTAGCCAGCCAGTTTGTGAGATTGGATACTTCTGAGCCTAGTCGAGTATTGGCTTGTGTGGTCTCTCTATCTTCTCTTTATAATCGTATCAGGGAGTATGATGACACCCATATGCTTGTCCTGAAGGACACGGTCCAGCATGGTGCTGCTAAGGAGGTCACTATTGGAGATTATGGTGCATTAAGGATGCAGGGCAGGCTATGTGCCTAACGTTGATGGTTTGCGCGAGTTGATTCTTCAGGAGGCTTATAGCTCGCTGTACCCTATTCATCCGGGTGCCGCGAAGATGTATCAGAACTTGAGGCAGCATTACTGGTGGAGGAGGATGAAGAAGGATGTTGTGGAGTATGTTGCTTGGTGCCTAAATTGCTAGCAGGTGAAGTATGAGCATCAACGACCGAGTGGATTGCTTCAGAAGTTGGAGATTTTGGGGTGGAAATAGGAGCATATCACTATGAGTTCGGACTCCCAGGGACTCAACGGAAGTTTGATGCAGTATGGGTGATTGTGGATAGGCTGACCAAGTAAGCTCACTTCCTTCCTGTGATGACTACCTATTCTTCCGAGCAGCTGGCTCGAGTTTATATCCGTGAGATTATCAGAATTCATGGCGTGCCGGTATCTATCATCTCTGACCGGGGTAAGCAGTCTACATCACGGTTCTGGAGAGTCGTACAACATGAGTTGGGTACTCGAGTGGAGTTGAGCACGACATTTCACCCTCAAACGGATAGACAGTCCGAGCGCACTATTCAGATTCTTGAGGATATGCTCCGTACGTGTGTGATGGAGTTTGGGGGTTATTGGGATCAGTTCTTTCCCTTTGCGGAGTTTGCCACAACAACAGTTACTAGTCTAGCATTCAAATGGCATCGCACGAGGCTCTGTATGGTAGGCGGTGTCGATGCCCTATGGGTTGGTTCGAGCCGGGCGAGGCCAGATTATTGGGTACGGACTTGGTTAAGGATGCCTTGGAGAAGGTTAATGCGATTCGGGATAGACTTCGCACAGCCCAGTTGAGACAGAAGAGTTATGCAGGTCAGAAGGTTCACGATGTAGCATTCATGATTGGAGAGCGGGCCTTGCTCCGGGTTTCACCTATGAAGCGCGTCATGAGGTTCGGAAAGAAGGGCAAGCTGAGCCCAAGGTTCATTGGTCCGTTGAGGTATTGCGGCGAGTTGGGGAGGGTGCCTATGAGCTTGCCTTGCCTCCCAGTCTAGCAGGAGTTCATCCGGTATTCCATATTTCTATGCTCCGAAAGTATCACGGTGATCTGTCTCACGTGTTGGATTTCAGCTCTGTCCATCTGGACAACGATCTATTTTATGTTGAGGACCTAGTGGCTATTTTGGACAGGCAGGTTCGAAAGTTGAGGACAAAGAACATTGCATCAGTAAAGGTTCAGTGGCGGGGTCAGTCGGTCGAGGAGGCGACTTGGGAGTCCGAGTCGGACATACGGAGTAGATATCCCCACCTTTTCACTAGCCCATGTACTTTTCTATGTCCGTTCGAGGATGAACGGTTGTTTTAGAGGTGGAGAATGTGATGACCCAATAGGTCATCTTTTTAATCAAAACAAAATTTTGTGTTCCGAGACCTTAAAAACCTCATTTTTACCTCCTCAGTTTGCGTGGGCAGTCCGGGCGTGTTTTCGGAAAGCTTTTGTGTTGAAAGTTGATAAAAATAAGAATTTTTTATTAAAAACTTCATTTGAGTTGACTTCGGTCAAAATTTTTGGTAAACAGGCCCGGATTCGTATTTTGACAGTCCCGGTGGTTTATATCGAAATACGAAACTTGGACGTATGCCCGGAATCGGATTCGGAGGTCCCTAGCCCGAGTTATGAATTTTTGTTAATAATTGAAATCTGAAAAATTATTGGTTTTTAAGAAAAGTATTAATGTTTGATCTTGGTGGTATCGGGTCCATATTTTGGTTCCGGAGCCCGGTAAAAGTTCAATATAATATTTAAGACATGTCTGTGATATTTGGTGAGAAACGAAGTTGGTTTGACGTAATTCGGACGTCTGGTAGTTAAAATAGAAATTTCAAAGTGTTCTTGAGAATTTCATTTGATATGGTGCTAACTTTTTAGTTCTAGGTGTTTTTTTTGGCATTTTGATCTCGCGAGAAAGTTCGTATGATGTTTTAAGACTTGTTTGCATGTTTGGTTTGGAGCCCTGAGGGCTCGGGTGAGTTTCGGATAGGTTACGGAGTGATTTGAACTTGAAAAAATTTGCTGGTGTAACTGAGCAGGTTGCAGGCCTTTGATCTCGCATTTGTGAGATCAGGCATCGCAATTGCGACCTTTGAGGGGTCCCCATTTGCGAGCTAATTCTCACAATGCGAGGAGAAACTGGGCCAGCAGTGTTCGCAAGTGCGAACTTTCCTTCGCATTTGCGAAGGGAGTCTGGGAATGGCAGGGATCGCAATTACGATCAATTGGTCGCAATTGCAAAAGGTCAGGCTCGCATTTGCGAGACTTTCTTCGCATTTGCGATGAAAGAAGGAATTGGGAGACCTTCGCATTTGCGATAGGTTCTTCGCATTTGCGGGGCTCACATTTGCAAACCCCATGTCACAAATGCGACACCTACAACTGATCAAAATGACTTTTGGACGGGATTTTTCATTCATTCTTCAAATTTTCAAAACCTAAAACACAAGAGGCGATTTTCCAAAGACTTCTTCTTTCCTAAATCATAGGTAAGTGATTCTAAACTAGTTTCTTTCAATCTTTAACTTTATTTTACAAGATTTCAACCTACTATGGTTTTCATGGTGGAATTGGTGATTTTTGGGTAGAAACTAGGGATTTCGAAATTTGGGGATTTAGACCTCAAATTGAGGTTGGATTCCAAAACCAATTGTATATCCGAGCTCGGGGGTGGATGGGTAATCGGGTTTTTGTCCGAATTTCGGGTTTGGACCAAGTGGGCCCGGGTGTTGACTTTTATTAACTTTTTCAATAATGACCTAAATTGAGTCTTTTGTTATCGTGGGTGATTCGTAAGGCTTATTTTGAAATATTTGGTTGGTAATTTGCTAGATATTGTTGGTTCAGAGGCGTGTTTGAAAGGCAAAGCTGTGATTGAGCTTTGAGTGGCCTTTGGTTCGAGGTAAGTGGCTTGCCTAACCTTGTGTGGGGGAACTCCCCTTAGGATTTGGTAATGTTTGATATATGAGTGCCGTGTACGTGAGGTGACGAGTGCGTACACGAGCTATTTGTTGGAGAAAAAACTCAGTTTTCATTAAGCAAAATACCTGTTTTTCCTTTAATTGAGCTACCCTAGTATACGTAATTATCTTGTTTAGTTTAGAAAATCATGCCTATGTGACTTAACTGCCTTAACTGCCTTATCTGCCTATCTGAACTCTGTGCAGCATGTCTGAGTGAAATCTCCTGTACTTTCTTGAATTGGACTTTGCTAAATTTTGGTTTTCTTGCCGTAATTGTTATTTTTGTTGGTTGAGCTGCATATTTACTTTGGGACTATGGAACGTTATTCCGGGAGATCCCATGTACTGCATACTTACTTTGGGACAACAGAACGGTATTCCGGGAGATCCCCCAACACTGCATAATATTTACTTTGTGACTACGGAATGGTATTCGGGGAGATCGCCGAGCATTGCATATTTACGTTTGGGACTACAGGACGGTATCCTGGGAGATCCACTGTTGCTATTATTGTGTTCTGAGTTATTGGTTTTCATTGAATTCTATTCCTGTTAGATCTCCGTATTTATTTTGCTGTAATATTCTTCTATCTTATTTCATTATTTTTATACCAGTAAGGCCCTGACATGATCTCGTCACTACTTGACCGAAGTTAGGCTTGGAACTTACTGGGTACCGTTGTGGTGTACTCATGCCCTTTCCTGCACATGTTTTTCGTGTGCAGATCCAGGTACTAGTTATCAGCCTCGAGTCTAGTTGCGCGGTTGCTGCTTCAGGAGACTTCAAGGTACATCTGCCGCGTCCGTAAACCTCGGAGTCCCCTTGTATCCCCTTGTGTTAATTTCCCCCTTGTTTCCTTCAGACATAAATGTATAGAGCAGTTAGAAACTCTTAGAAGCTTGTGACATTACGACATTCCGGGTTTTGGGAAAGATGATTATTGTATATGTCGAGTGGCACCGTTTCCGCTTATTAATTATATGTTAGTTGTTATCTTTGTGTTTTATTTCATTTCTGCAATACTAGGCTTACCTAGTCGTAGAGATTAGGTACCGTCACGAAAGTTCCCGGATGGAGAAATTGGGTCGTGACAATGGCAAAGACAATAGCCCACTCGAAGACGTAGGGAAAAACATACTACTTCACATCTACGGTCCTAGTGCAACTCCTCGATGCCCAATTGATACCAAGAACTCCACATCGTATAAGAATGAATAGAAAGGAAACGAAGGCATAAGCCTCAGTGGAATCAAATCGCAGGACGAGGAATCATGAAGT